AGATCAAGCTTTGGATGCTCTATGGACTGAGCTTGCCAGGCACCCCTCAGTGACGACTGATTGAGTCAATGGAGTTGGCCTGACGGCCAGACTTGGGTTCTCGCCCCAGTTCTCTGCTTGCATCAAGTTAGTGGCCTTCTCTTTGGGCCTCATGTTCCTCATTGGTGAAACGAGCCCTCTTTCATTCTCCTGTGCTGACACCAGGAGCCACAGTAATACCCAAGAAAGATCATCAAAACGCAGTGTGTTTGTCAGTTAGACCTCAGTAAGGCTGGGGGAAAAAAAAAAAAGCACAACCACCCAAGACATCGCAGCCTTTCATGGAAGTAACATTCAAGACACTTGCCAACACAGCTCAAACTGATTTCAACCAAGGAGAATGTGAGGGCTCTCGAGCCGCAGGCTGACGGAAATAGCAGGAAACAGGCATTCCCGTGATGTCACCAGGAATCCATTTCTCCTTGCTAAGCTTTGCTGGACTCTGACTTAGCTTGGTTTCCAAACAGGGAACATGAGCAGCTGTGGGCTCCCATTCTTTAAAAATGTTATAGTTTTGTCTTTTTTTTTTTTTTTTTTTTAGATTTTATTTATTTGTTTGACAGATCACAAATAGGCAGAGAGGCAGGCAGAGAGAGAAGGGACCCTGGGATCATGACCTGAGCCAAAGGCAGAGGCTTTAACCCACTGAGCCACCCAGGTGCCCCTAGTTTTGTCTTTTTAAATAGTGTGTGTGTCTCAAGAGTCTGCAAAGTTCACAAGAGCCCCTGGAGAAAATCTCCCTCAACACCAGTCTTCCCAGTTACCTCGGGCCTCCTTCCAGACATGGGCACGGCGCATGGTTTCCTCTTTTTACACGGATGGAAGCCACAAGGTCTTTTTGTCACTTAACCCATGGAGATTGGATTTTTATTTTTTTAAGTTTTTTATTTAAGTAAACTCTGCACCCCATGTGGGTCTCCAACTCATGACCCTGAGATCGAGAGTCCCAGGATCCTCCCACTGAGCCAGGGAGGGAAAGGACCCCTCTTCGAGAGTCTTTCTTTCCTGGCTGCCGAGTATTACACTGTAGTATAATTTCACCAATCTCCTGGTGACAGACATCATTTGCAAACTCAAGCAAAGCTGTGAAGAATAATCATGTTCACATCGCACCTATGTGCAAGAAGGCAGAGCTAGCTCCTAGTGGTGAAAAGTCTTAGGTTGGGGTGCCTGGGTTAGCTCAGTGGTTTAAGTCTCTGCCTTCAGCTCAGGTCATGATCCCAGGGTCCTAGGATTGAGCCCCGCGGTCCTGGGATCAAGCCCCACAGTCCTAGGATCAAGCCCCACATTGGGCTCTGCTCAGCGAGGAGTCTGCTTCCCCTTCTCTCCCTCTGCCTGCCTCTCTGCCTACTTGTGATCTGTCAAATAAATAAATAAAGTCTTAAAAAAAAAAATCCTCGGTCAAAAGGGTATGAGGATTTGTGGTTTCGATTAGTTTTTGATTTTTGTGGCTATTGCCAAATTGGGCTCTGTGTGTCACCCATTTTCACTCCCACCAACAAAGAGGTGAGGCCTGTTTTCCCTAAACCCACGCCCTCTTCAACTCTTTAATGACATTATTTGGGCATTACAAGTTAAGTTAAACATGATTTGCATTTCTCCTATGGTGAATAAGTCTAGGCATCTTTTCATATATTTGAGAGATCTTTGTATTTCCTCTCCTGTGAAAGATCCATATGATTTTTCTGTCCTTTATTATTGGACTACTGGTGTATTTCTTACAGATTTGTAGACTTTTGTGTTTCAGTGTTAGCCCTTTCTCTGCAGTATGAATTCTATTTTCCCTAGATTGTCATTTATGTTAGCTTTCGCTTATGATTTTTTTTACCATGCATACTTTTTACTTTTTTAATACATGTTTAAATGCATCAGGCTTTTCTTTCCGGACTTCTGCGTTTTGTTTTCACACCCAGCAATGTCCTCTTCACTCCAAACTATTTACTGCTGTGGTATTCTTGCCACAGAGGCACACCCTCGATCTAATGATGAGAAAACACTGCACAAATTCAAATGGAGAGGGGTGCCTGGGTGGCTCAGTGGGTTGGGCCTCTACCTTCGGCTCAGGTCATGGTCTCAGGGTCCTGGGATCAAGCCCCGCATTGGGCTCTCTAAGCGGGGAGCCTGCTTCCCCTTCTCTCTGCCTGCCTCTCTGCCTACTTGTGATCTCTGTCGAATAAATAAAATTAAAAAAAAAAAATTTGAATGGAGACACATTGTGCAAAACCACTCACCAGGACTCTCCAAATGCGTCAAAACGGTGAAAGGCACGGCTCAGGTCATGATCCCAGGGTCCTGGGATCGGGCCCCGCGTCGGGCTCTCTGCTTGGCCAGGAGCCTGCTTCCCTTCCTCTCTCTCCGCCTGTCTCTCTGCCTACTTGTGATCTCTGTCAAATAAATAAAATTTAAAAACAACAACAACAACAACAACAACAAAAACGGTGAAAGGCAGAAAAAGAAGGAACTGAGGGACGGTCTCAGCTTGAAAAGCCTAAGAGTGACAAGTCAATGGGATGTGAAATCCTGATTTAGAGGCTGAGGCAGAAAAGGGGAATTAGGATGAAAGCTATTCCAATCAGAGCTGTGGATGAGGTCATAGCATGGCATGAACACTAACTTCCTGGTTTCGCTAATCATGACGTGGCCACGTGAGATGCTCACATTTGGAGGAGCTGGATGAAGGTTATACAGATCTGAACAATTTTGTGACTTTTCTGTAGGTCTGAAATTAGTCAAGATAAAAGGTTAAAAATGCCAAGTTTTCTTTCAGTTCTTTTATGCTTGTATTTTTTTACACTATCACCTTTGATCTATTGGTAATAGTGGTGTAAGGTATCGATCCCTATTTTTCCCCAGATGGCTACTCAATTTTCTAATAACCTTTATTGACTAATTCCTCTTTTCCCCACTGGTTTTTTTTTTTTTTAAGATTTTATTTATTTATTTGACAGACAGAAATCACAAGTAGGCAGAGAGGCAGGCAGAGAGAGAGGAGGAACCAGGCTCTCCGTGGAGCAGAGAGCCGGACACGGGGCTCGATCTCAGGACCCTGGGATCATGACCTGAGCTGAAGGCAGAGGCTCAACCCAAGGCAGAAGCTCAACCCACTGAGCCACACAGGCACCGGTTTTTGTCTTTTTTTTTTTTTAAGTCATTTAATTTTTGTGGGTTTTTTTTTTTTTTTTAAGATTTTGTCAGAGAGAGAGAGAATAAGCAGGGGGAGTGGCAGAGGGAATGGGAGAAGGGCTGGATCCCAGGACCCCAGGATCATGACCTGAGCCAAAGCCAGATGCTTAACAGAGCTATCCAGGCGTTCCAAATCATCTATTTAAACTGTCAGAAATACATAAAATTCACCATCTTTGCCATTTTTAAGTGTACAATTCAGTAATAAGTACATTCATGCTGTTTTACAACTGATCCCTAGAATTCTTTTCATCCTGCAAAGCTAAAAGGTTTTACCCTGTCAACAACTCCTCATCCCTCCCCCTCAGCCCCTGGGAGCCACCATTTACCTTCCATCTCTACAACTCTGCTTACCTTTGGTACCTCATATGAATAGACTCAAGCAGAATTTGTCTTCCGTGACTGGCATATCCTGGTTGATGAGCTAACTTCACAAAAATGGTAAGTAAAATCTTTTTTTTTTTTTAAGATTTTATTTATTTATTTGACAGACAGAGATTACAAGTAGGCAGAGAGGCAGGCAGAGAGGAGGAAGCAGGCTCCCTGCTGAGCAAAGAGCCCGATGTGGGGCTCGATGTGGGGCTCGATCCCAGGACCCTGGAATCATGACCTGAGCTGAAGGCAGAGGCTTTAACCCACCTGGGTGGCT